TAAAACTAAATAACAAAATAACAAAAATTTCGAAAAATTTTATTTTTGATAAAACGTCATATTTTTATAGAACTTTATAATTCATCAATTAGTTTTTATTGTTCAAAATTTTGTATATCGATGCATATTGGTATATATTGGAGCATATTTCTTAATATTTTGTGTATATTTTTGTGAAAATATTTTACGATTTTTTTGTGCATATAATCCGAGCCTTATTTATGACTAAATGCACTACTAACTGCACTAGTTACATTAAAAAACACTTTTGAAAATTAGATACTGACGCATGATGTTTGTTTATATCCATGGTTATGATTTCTTTACTGGCAAATTGTCTTGATTATTTTGTTGCATGTTCCTCTTATTTTTTTAAATTTGTGTTTATTTTAAGTCTGACAACGAACGACTCAAGAAACAACTTCAGTTCTAATTTCGGAAAGCTTGTAGAATAAAACAAAATTTAATGCTCAAGTTGAACAGAAAATTCTACGCCACCCTCAAGCAACTACGTAATCGTTCCGGCTTGTTAATGTAAATTATATGATGCAAAACTTACTTTCCAACTTGTTGAGGTAAAGAAAATTTTGAATCTGGCACAAGAGAGGCACTTTGAAATATTTAATTAAAATATCAGTTGTGTTCTTGCTGTCTGTCTTCCCACTGTGTAAAAAACGCCGCCAAATCAAGCAGTTTAATCTCGTATTTCCTCTTAACTGAGTGTATTGTAAGTGGGCAGCGGTTATAAATTTCTCGCTCGGCTGTACTAACTGAATTTGGTGCGGTTTTGGCCGCGGGCGGACAAAAGGGCCCGGAGTAAGCGGTAGGCGGTACACGGGCCATAAATTCACTAAATACGTGTAAGATTAAACCACAAATCGCTGTTGTTTTACGGCTAATTCATTTATATCGATCGAGAACAGCCGACGCCACCACCGCAAGATCAAATTCTCTATAAACTCAGCAAATCTCGTTCAGATTTTGGGGTCGACGGGATATAACGCCAATTTGAGAGGAGGGCACGTCGTAGACCCCAAGAGCTTACATCGAACAATTCTAGACATCTTCAGCAAAATGCGTGAAAATTTTACTCATAACTGGAAAAAATCACACAATAAAATTTGAGGTTTTTTCATCAATAATGTCGTATTGTAACACACACTTTTTGCTGCCCCAGCGAGTTGAAAAAGTCCATTAGTGACCTTTACATTTACCATTGTAAAATTTAAAAAAAAACATTGTATAGCACATTAATAGATACTAATCTAGTGCATCGCCTAACATTATTTTCAACCATACAGCATGTTCCAAAAATAAGTTACGATACAAACTTGTGTTTTTTTTTTTTAATGAAACAATATATGTTTTTTGACATTTTTGTATGCAGCGTTTTAAAACAATGTTTTTACGCTAAACTTTTGTTAGTCGATTTTGCTTTTAGAAATGAGACGTTTTTTTGGCAAAAACAAGCCCTTTTTAAAAATATATTACACAAAAACCAAGACAGCTAGAAAAAAAAATTATTACTTCTGCAAAGAAGAAAGTACAGAATATAAAGCTGTAGCAATTTTTCAGTGTTTTTCATTTGTAAAAATTAATAAAATAAGAAGTTTGTTAAAAGTTAAATAATTAAAAAAAATTAAATGTAACATCCTAGTTTTTATTTTTCCATCTAAAAGATTGATAAATTGTCTATTTAAAAAAATAAACTTTTAATGTCTAGGATCTATAAATGAAAAGATATTTAACATTCTAATTGTAACAACAATGCCTATAAATATCTGAGCCTTGTTGATATTATGGCAACAATAGTAATTCCACCACGGATCACTTATCCGTTGATTTATTTAGAGATTGTAAAAATCGTTAAAAATACTGAAATTAAAATTATTTTATTGTAAAAATAAAGAATAATGGATTCAGTTTAACACAAATGTGATTATTAAGTGATATTTCTTCCATCTCGTGTTCAACTGTGCACTTTTTGACTACTGAAACAATAGTAATTATTTTTCTTAATGTTTAACGTTAAATAACTTTTTAGTTATTGATTATAAACACCTAAAAGTAAGTAATTTTAGAAAGACAATTTAATAATCTTTTAAATGCAGAACCAATAAATAGCGTGTTCTATTTAAATTTTTAAGTTATTAAACTTTTAACAAACGCCTTTTTATCTTTGCAAATGCAACACACTTAAAAAATGTTACAACCTTATAGCTTGTACCTTCTTCTTTGCGGTAGTAAAAAAAAATATTTTTAGATGTCTTAGTTTTTGTGTAATTTTTAAAAAGTTCATGTTTTCATTAAAAAACCGTCTTATTTTTAAAACTAAGCAAAATCGACGAATAAAAGTTTAGTTTAAAACATTGTCATAAAAATCTACATCCAAAAACGCTATGAAACATATGGTGTTAAATTTAAAAAAAACACAAGTTTGTATTGTAACTTATTTTTGAGACACGCTGTATACATAGTTGAAAATAATTTTAGGCGATGGACTAGATTAGTTTCTATCAAAGTCCTATACAGGGTGCGCCAGAACTCGCGCCCCAGAGAAAAATGCCATATAAGGTAAGATACCAGGAACATGGAAAACATGTTAAAAAAAAATTTATCTCTAAAAATTTCGAAGTTATGAATGTTTAAAGTTTGCACTTTGACTATTTATTTCTATTGGAAAAATAATTTTCCAAGTTTTTTTGCTATAAACTATTAAAAACAAAACAAGGAAGCTGTATCATAAATTGTAACTCTGTTCAATGTTATGTTTGATTTTTCAAAGCGATTTTACTCGAAACTTATTGATTGTAAAAATTGTGGCTTTTATTGGCAAAATTTTTGTCTCTTTACTAAATAATTGTAAAAAAACATATACAAGATCATCAGTATTATTAAATACGAGTAGATATAAAAAAATGTCAAATGTCAAAAAATAAATGTCAAAATTTTTTGACAGATAGTATTTTTTAAACATTTTTTTCATGTTCCTGGTATCTTACATTACTTGAAAATTTTCTCTGGGGCGCGAGTTCTGGTGCACCCTGTATATATTTTTTAATTTCACCATTTAAAGGACACTAATGATTTTTTTCAACTGGCTGGGACAGCCTAAATTATTTATTTCCCAAAAAAAAAAATTTTTAATGTTTAATAAACTTGTTTTAATAAATATCAGTTTCATTTATCCCTTTTTATACGCAAATGTCACAAAAGTAACTCTTTTTATGACTAAATGTCACAAGTAAGAGATTTACTTTTCAGCCATAAAGTAAAAATTTTATTTCTGCGTCTAAACTATTTTACTTGATATTTATCAATGTTCTTTCTTTCGCAGTAAGTGTTTTTTATAAAAAGTGCAAGTTTCAATAAT